AGCTACTACCAGGAGGTGTGGGGGGTATTGATTTCACTTTGTACTGTATAAGTAACAGGCGAAACCCTCTCCAGTTGGAAGCTTTCAATTTAGCACAATATTACAGTACTTAAAGAAAAACCCTTCACAAAAACAGACAGATCATTTCTAGGTTTTTCCCCATATTTTTAAAATAGTTTTTTTAAAGGCAGCTGATTTCTAAGGTGGATTAGCAGTAAATGTCTGCTGTCTTCAGAAACTCAGTTCACAACTAATCTGCTAAAAGCAAAGGATTGGGGAAGAAGATGCAGCAGACAAGATCATTTTCAAAGGATTTCTTCAAGCTATTCAAATATTTTAAATTTTTTAAATGAAATGCTGATTTCTTAAGAGAGAATAGAAGTAGGGTAGAAAGGACAGAAATCCCAGTAAGGGCTATGCACAAAGCAGGGGGGAAGAAGTGTTCCATCTGGATGAACCCACAGAAAGAGTATGTGTACAGAATTCAGTAATGAACGATTCTTATCTGTACCATGCTCACAATTGCTATGGTTTGGGGAGTGGGAGATACGACAGATAAATTAGCAGTTTCCCTTGCCCACAAACAAGGGTTCCCTTGCAGGTGAGTCAACATGAATCTCTGCAAAAAATTAAGTTTGAAATTTAAAAAGAATTAGTTATTAAATGAATATGGCCTCAGCATCTAAAATCTGCACAATCCACACAAACCACTAATTATAAAGCTATCAAGCTAATACACCCTTTGAATTAGGGATTTTACTTGTTTCACTTATACAATGTCAGGCCTACACTGATTGGATGTATATGCCTTAATTATTCTTAATTATAATTTACATTTGAAAATAGGGACCATGTGCTAATTACTGCCACATCATTACTGGAAAATTAATACAATTAATATTTGTCTTGGTAGGAGTGGGATGAGGCGCAGAATAATTCTTATTTTTCAAAGCTCTTCTCTTTCAGGAAGAATCTCTCTCTTGTCCCACCAGCCACCATTAATTCTGGGCACCCGTTTCCTGGGTGGTTCCAATTGCAGCAAAGAGACAATTCAAAGCAAAGAAAGAAACTTTTCCCAGGGCACCCACAACCCCACACTCCCACCCTGCAGTGATGTCAGGTCCTCCCAAATGGATGAACAGACAGAAAGGAGAATAAGCAAGACATGCGGGTCCAATAAGATACCTGGGAGGCAGGATACAGGAGAATAGAGGGGGGAAGAGTTTATGCTACAGGAGGGAAAGGATAAAAGAAATCACAGTTAATAGATATCAGGAAGTAGGTGGGCAAGAAGGGGGAAGAGGTGATTAGCTGGTTAAATGGGACAGAATGGGACGGAATGGAATGGAATGGATAGAGAAGACAGGTAAATGGCAACCCATCAAGGAACCCTAAGATCTACTTAGGGGCACTGGCTATGGAATAAAGAGAAGCACAGATTATTCTCTCTCTTTCCCACTGACCTACGGCATCCACCAAGTCTCCACTTAGACTACATGACAATTCCCATCTACTCTTCCCGCTTCTGCTCCAGCCAAGGACAGATCACTCCATGCTTAGGATTCAATGGGAAACACTAGTGTCTAGGGACACCCAGACCACACCTGAACTCCGAAAGAGAAATGTCTCTTTCATTGTATCAATACAAATCTAAAATTCCTGGGAGCGGCATCCAATTTCCAAAGGCCTTGTTCTGCTCACAACCCCAAAGAGATCACCTGGTAGGAGCCAGAGTGACCAAGCACTATCCCTCTGTCTATGATGGGCTGCTCTTGATGGGTGCAGATGGAAATGATGAGGGTCAAAGGAAAAACATGGGAGGAAAAAACTGAGAGAAGAAAGGCAAGAGGGGAAGGATGTTTTTACTTTCTTCTCTTCGTCACCTGAGCTTGGAAACATTACCTTTTTTTTTAAACTATAAATCCCAGAACTGACCAGCTACCCACAGTCATGCCAGCTGGGAGTTCTGGGAGTTGTAGTCAAAAAAGAAATTAACTTTTCCAAGCTGTGTTGGTCACGGTAAAGTTTTTTCCACATGCGCCATTTGGTGCTCATGGCTTTGGTGAAGGGGTGAGAGACGTCTTGGGGAGGAGACAAGGGACTGGCCTGGGGCACAAAGGGGAAAACTGAGGGTAGGGAACGCTTACGCTCCAGGTAGTTCCGGGCGACGAATTTGAGGATCTCATCCAGAAAGATGACAGGCAAGGAAATTTTCAGCACCACCATCCAGTGGTGCAGATCCAAGTGTGTCAGTTTGAAGATCATCTGGAAGGAATCAATGCAAAAGAGGCGAGTTCAGTGTTTGCCACCAGCCCCAGAAGTCAAGAGACCTGGATGCTCCTTCTTTTCAGTGCCATGGATACAAAGGTTGAAAACATTTCTGTTGGATTAGAATACCCAGAATCCCCCAACCAGAAGGACTAGTACAATTCTGGGAGTTGTAGTCCATAAAGGTAACGTTTCTGAATTCTGCCTATATAACTCTGTGCCACTTTGCATGAGCAGCAAAAAGCAGAATAAGTTATTATGCTAAATGAGGTTTGATTGATTGATTGATTGATTGATCCATCCATCCATCCATTTCTCCC